AGTTATGAGAGCTAAAATGATGTCTCTTTATGATCAATGATAAGCAATAAATGATGAATAAATAGAACACAATGAATATAAGCAATAAATGAAAGTAATGATATCAAGAAAATATGTTAGAGAGTAGAGAGAATGTTCATGTGTATTTAATATTGAGTATCAGATCCCCACAAAATGACAAGGATTCCCTTTTTATAAGATAGGGAATCTCAACATAGTACAAAGACATTTATTACAAAGATATGAGGCTGGTACAACTAATTAATGCCATGATGCGGGTTTAGACTAGCCTGACAGGCTTCGTCAACTCTAGCTACACGCCCTAGGAACTTCCCACTTTTTCACCATAACCGCGGATCTATACTGCCCCGAGGTTGGGCGTCGATAGCCCCTCGGGAGTGAATCTCGACCATAGCCTCGAGCCTTTGAAAACGTGCCTATGAGGCATCGTAATGACAGAAAATTGGACCCTCCGATTTTACCGTATACAATAATATATGAGAGCACAAAACATAAGCAAAAAATTAGAACTTGATTTTGTTTAGTATAAACACAAAAACGTTTCGAGATTTAGAGGAGTTCAATAGTAAGAAAAAATATTTTATTTGTTTAGCGTTATGTTTGACTAAATGAGATAGAGTCAGACCTTTCTATAATAGTATTCTTATATAAAAATATTTCACTATAAATCCGAGCTTTGCCAGAATCAATTTTTATGTTATGTTATAATATATATTCTCTATAACAGCATTTCGCTATAATATCCATATAGAAAGGTTTGACTATAGATAAAACTCACATACTGAAGTGTCTCTAAAATTAATAATCATTTGACTTCTAATGTTATCATATTACTTTCTATCTTGATTTATATTTATATCATGATTTTATTATTTGATAAGAAAGGCAGATATTGACTCTTTGAATACTATATCAATGTAATTGGTTTCAAGTATTACCTGATGTGGAAGGGGAATTATTATTCCGTAATTTCGCAGTCTCTTTTTTAGAAATTGTTGTTGTTATATTTTAGTAGCCAGCAGTAAAATATTTCTAAGGAATATAAATCGGAGGGTAGTTTCGTCTTTAGAGGAGCTAGTTGTAACGATTTGTATGAAGAATTTATAAATATGATTAGCAATAAATATTCTACACGTATTATAATTCGGAAACCCCCACATTGGTATGTACTAGGAACCAGTGGCGGCTCAATCTAATATGTGGCCTAAAACCAAAACTTAAAAGGGGCCTTATGTTATAAAATAATAAAAGAAGAATAAGAGTATTGCAGAGAAAAGTAGGGAGAGGGAATTCTTATTGATTTTTGGGATGATTTACAATGGAATAGAACCCTCTATTTATAGGGAGATGGTAACTTAGCCACCAAGTAATAAACCCTAGAATCTCTCTAGAATATAGACATTCACCTTAAATAGAATTCTATTTATAACACTCTCCCTTGAATGTCTATTCAACAGATAATGTGCCTCGTTAAAACCTTAACTAAATAAAACCCAATGGGAAAAAATTATAGAAAAGGAAAAAGAGTACACATATCTAACAATACGCTTTTTGGTTGCCTCGTTAAAAACCTTGCAAGGAAAACTCAGTGGGACAAAACCTTGTAATGGAAAAAGAGTGCAACGCGTATTAACTCCCCTGATGAGAGCATCAATTAACATCATTGAGCCTTCGCATTCCAATCTTGTGCACTAGCTTCTTGAAGGTTGACATCGGCAGAGTTTTGGTAAATAAATCAGCCATATTAACTCTAATGAATATATTGCACCTTGAAAATCCTCGCTATCACATTATCATGCTTATAGTTATAGCAAGATACAAATGTGCATAAATTGCACTGAGAAAGTGGTACTTAATGATCAAGAATTATATATGCTTTAAGCAACTTAAATCCTTCATGGATTGTCATATAAGCCATCTAAATAGACTTTAGATGTATATCAAATTTTCATGTCATACTAGACATATAAGATATCGAAAACTGATTGCACATACCATTGACTTTATACTTTCAAGTATTTGAACAACATAGACAAAATTATATGTCTTTTATATGAAACCAATTCTATTTGAATTGTGTCTCTTCCATTTGGCCAATATTTTTGTGTCTATATTCGATAGACGTAGGATCCTCATCTATACTTAGCGCTATGATAGATGTCGTCGACAAACATTTTATATCGGTTCCAATATTTTTTCATAAAGACATAACATAGATATCTCTTCATTCATATATTCAGGTACCTGAATCTCTCATAAGATTTTATGAAGTGTTATGTGATATTAGGCTAGATATATGTCATTTGACAATGGTTTTTGCCCCAACTTGATTATGTTTCAATGCTCTAATATAATTAAATGATGAAAAATGAGCTCTAAATTGTGTTGCAGGAATGAAGAGCTTGTATGAGGCCTTAAAGCTGTGATTGGAGCTACATTGAAGCAAGAAAGACCCCTAGGAGCTGAATGAGCGAGAGGACGAGAATAAAAGAACCAAAAAAATGAGACCTGGACTAGCGCGCCCAGTAGCGCGCCCACATGTGCGATCGCGCTAGTCCAGATTCCGGAACAGAATCGTCAGGGGTAATTTTTGAAGCCTGGGGGGCAAATTCACTTAACATATAGAAGGTCAAGCTCGCCCAAAAATAGAGGGGTGCATCTTTTATTAGCTAAGAACAAGAATAGGAAAGGCAATGAGCTAAGAGAAGTTTTCTACATCAAGTTCTTCTCCTCTTCCTTTTGTTTTTATGATTTGTAATGAAGTTATTTATTATGATGTTTATCATTGTTATGAGTAGCTAACGCTTTTAATCTAAGGTTTTGGTTGAACCCGTTGTGGATGAACTTATTGTGATATTAATATAGTTTTGAGTTAGTTGTTAATCTCTATTTGTTCAACTATGTTTTGATATTTGGTTAGTTGAAAGGATCCTCAATTAGCCATGCCTATTTATTATGTAGCTACTTGAGAAAGAATGCATATTTAGGTAATTGTTTGAACAACATCACTCCCGGAGTATAGGCGAAGTCATAACCGAGGGTTTAGAGGTTGGAGTAGAGATAACGATACCTCGGGTGCAATCTAAGTGAATTGTAATGCGAATCTAGCTAGCGTAGCTTGAGAGAGTGCGTCTAGTAAATTATCATAATTACTTGAGAGAGAGTTATGATAGTTGGAGAGTTCATGATTGATAGAGATAACTAATTCATAGCTATAAGAAATATACGACTAAGGAAATCTACAACGGGGGAAGCCATTACCTTAGGCCTTTATTCCAATTGTCTATATTTGCGTATTAATTAACATTTGTTTTATTGATTCGAATAGTTGTCGTAGTAATTATAACACCACTTGTATTCACAAAGTTTGATGAGGTTGACTAATAAGAATTTAGTACTTCAAAGACTTCTCTTGATACGTTAATTCACTGTGGGATTTGACTCGGGGCATAATACCCCGGATTATATTTGCAACGCCCGCGTAGTCTTTTAATAGGATTAGTTGAGCGTGATCAAATTTTGACACCATTGCCGGGGAGTTAACGGTATTATCAATTGCGATTGAAAGAAGTACCAAAAAAAAATTCTTAGTGTAGTTAGTTTTCTCTACACCCAATTTTTACATTGAAATTTTTAACGTTTGTTGACTTGGTTGCACAGGTACATGCCTAGAATCTCATCGAGAACTGGTGAAGTATTTGAAGCATTTTCAAATCCTAAGAAAGTTTTCAAGGCCTTGAACCAGGCCAACCAGAGAAACAGACAACAACAAACAACTGATCCAATCGAAACAGCAATGGGAGATCACGGAGAACACCCAGCTATACCAATAGAACCAATGGCACCTCTTGTGCCCGAGGTGGTTCTCTATGATTGGGCACAACCCACAACTGAAAATTTGGCCAGCTCAATTTTAGTCCCGCAGATACAAGCTGAATCATTCCAAATCACGAATAACATGTTGCATTTGTTGCAAAACAAGGGGCTATTTTCGGGGTCACAAGTCGAAGATCCTCAACAACACTTGAAAAATTTTCTGTCAATCTGAGACCCAAAGACAACCCAATGTAACTCCAGAAGCAATCAAGTTGCTATTGTTCCCAATTTCAGTGACCGGAGCTGCCCAGACCTAGTTAAACTCACTCCCCATAAATTCCATAACTACTTGGGAGGAGTTAGTCAGGCAATTCGTGAACAAGTTCCACCCCCTAACAAAACCGCGCAACAGATTGATGACATTTTGAGTTTTAAACAGAGGCCAATGGAAATATTGCATGAAATATGGGAGCGTTTTAAAGGGATGCTGGTCATATATCGGCACCATGGCATTCCAGATTTGATGTTGGGACAGCGGTTCTACAAAGGATTGTCAGACAGCGTGAAAAACATTGTTGATGCTTCAGCGGGTGGAGCATTCTTGAGTAAAACATGGAGAGAAAGTCAAGGTCTGCTTGACAAGATGGCACAGAATTCAGGATAGATAACCAGAAATGCACCTATCACTCCAGTGGTGCACTCAGTGCCTTTAGATCCATCCAATTCAATAGCTGAAAATATGGCCACTTTATTGACACAAATGAGCATACTCACAAAAAGGGTGGAAGAGTCAGGGCAAAAACAACAGGTACATATTGTAGATACTACTAATGGGGGCTTGTGCACATCTTGCATTAGTCATCCAATTGGTAATCAGTGGCCTACAGGACAATCATCAGCACTACCCTGAAGATATGAACTATGTGTCTAATTATGGAGGCTAGAGACAGGGTGGTCAGAATTGGAGTCAGCAAAATCAGCAATACAGGCCAGCCCAATCACAGTTCAACAGTGGAAACATGGGAGGCATGAGACCCCCCAACAATATAGCACCTTACCCAAGGCCACAGAGATACAGTAATCAGAATCAACAGCAGGGGTATCGCCCTCCTCAGCAGTAGTACAGTGGAAGGCAGAAAGATGGGTTTGCTAGACTTGAAGCAATGATGCAACAGGTCATTGGGTCTAATGCAAAGATTAGTGAGAGAGTAGATGCACATGACTCGGCGATCAAGAATATTGAAATGCAAATGGGCCAAATTTCGATGTCTCTAAACAATCGCCCTCATGGAACACTACCCGCAGATACCCAGGTAAATCCAAAAGATCAAGTCCCGAAGCAGTTGATGGCGGTGAGCTTACGTAATGGCAGAGATTTGGATGTAGAGCAAGAAAGGGATCGAGAAGCCAGCGAAGCTGAGACACTTATATTAGTGCCCATAGAGTTGGATGAATCAACGAAACTAACAGAAGTGACAGTCCAGCCTGCCCAGGAAGAAGGTAGCATTCAAATTGAGACCGAGAAAGAAGCTGAAATAGTACAGAGTGGTTGATGTAGCGGCTGATAAAGATCGATCCCAAATGATTGGAAAGAAGAGACCTCCTGCACCCTTCCCTTAGAGGCTAGCTAAGTACCAAAAAGAGGAGCAATACAAGAAGTTCTTGGAAATGCTAAAACAAATCCAGGTAAACATTCCCTTAATTGATGCTTTGAAAGAGATGCCTGGGTATGCAAAAATGATGAAGGACTTAATGTCCCGAAAATTTGATTTCCAAGACTTAGCCACAGTTACTCTCACCCAGACCTGTAGTGTAGTGGTGACTAGACCAATTGCAGAAAAGCTATCTGACCCAGGGAGCTTTACAATCCCATGCACTATTGGCGATTTTGCCTTTACTAAAGCACTGTGTGATCTAGGGGCTAGCATTAATCTTATGCCCCTAGCAATTTATAAAAGGCTGGGTATTGGAAGAGCTAGACCCACCTCTATGTTGTTGTAGCTGGCTGACAGGACAGTAAAGCGACCATCTGGTATTCTGGATGATGTGTTGATTCAGGTAAGGAAATTTGTGTTCCCTACAGATTTTGTAATCTTAGACTGTAAAGTAGATGAAGAGATTCCCATAATTTTGGGAAGACCATTACTGGCAGCGGGGAGAGCTTTAATCGATTGTGAAACTGGGGAGTTAAAGATGAGGTTGAACGATGAAGAAATAACATTCAACGTGCATAAATCTATGAGGCGACCAAGTGAATTTGCCAATTGCTCTTTTATAGATGTCGTGGAGGTAATTGTAGAGACCGATGATGAACTGCTGACTATTGAAGACCCCCTTGCTACGTGTCTAATGAACTTTGATGAGGTAAACGAAGAAGAACTGGTTAGATTGGTAATGTCATTAGAAGGTAGAGGGTTCTGGGATAGAACACTTGAATTTGAGCCCTTGCACTTGGAGAATAGAGAAGCTCCTCCAGCCAAGCCATCAATCGAAGAACCACCAAAGTTGGAGTTAAATCCATTGCCAGCCCATCTCAGGTATGAGTTTCTTGGACCTAACTCCACATTACCTGTTATTATTTCATCTAGTTTGCTAGATGTGCAGACTCAACAACTCTTGCAGGTACTTAAAGAGTGCAAGACTGCTATTGGGTGGACCATGGCAGACATAAAGGGAATCAGCCCCACATACTGTATGCATAAAATTCTGCTGGAAGAAGGACACAAACCTTCCAGAGAATACCAAAAAAGGTTGAACCTAATATGAAGGAAGTAGTGAAGAAAGAGGTGATCAAGTGGTTAGATGCGAGAATCATTTTCCCAATTTCTGACAGTAGCTGGGTTAGCCCAGTTCAATGTGTACCAAAAAAAGGTGGCATGATGGTAGTTAAGAATGATAACAACGAATTGATTCCTACAAGAACCGTCACAGGATGGAGAATTTGTATGGATTATAGGAAGCTGAACTTGGCTACCCGGAAAGACCATTTCCCACTTCCTTTCATTGATCAGATGTTGGATAGATTGGCAGGAAGGTCACACTTCTGTTTTCTCGACGGAGACTCGGGGTACAACCAGATTTCTATTGCCCCAGAGGATAGGGAAAAGACTTCATTCACTTGCCCTTACGGAGTGTTTGCCTTCAGATACCATTTGGCCTTTGTAACACACCTGCAACATTCCAACGGTGCATGATTGCCATTTTTACAGACATGGTGGAGGACATTATAGAGGTCTTCATGGACGATTTCTCAGTGGTGGGAAATTTGTTTGATGATTGCCTAGCAAATTTAACTCGTGTTCTAAAAAGGTGCATCGAGACGAATCTAGTGCTAAATTGGGAGAAGTGACATTTTATGGTACAAGAAGGAATTGTCTTGGGGCACTTAGTGTCGAGTAAAGGAATTGAGGTGGACAGAGCCAAAGTCGACGTAATAGAAAAACTTCCACCTCCAACATCAGTCAAGGCTATTCGTAGCTTCCTGGGACACGCCGTCTTCTACCGGCGATTCATCAAGGATTTTTCCAAGATCGCAAATCCCCTCTGTAAGTTGCTCGAAAAAGATAACCCATTTGTTTTTTGATGATTTCAGGGTAGCTTTTGAGGAACTGAAGAAGCGGCTAGTCACATCACCAATTGTAGTTGCTCCCGACTGGGAGCAACCATTTGAACTCATGTGTGATGCTAGTGACTACGCTGTGGGAGCCGTGTTGGGACAGCGCAAGGATAAGGTAATGCACCCTATTTACTACACAAGTAGGACATTGAGTGGTGCTCAGCTGAATTACACGGTAACTGAAAAAGAAATGTTGGCTATTGTGTTCTCCTTTGATAAGTTCAGGTCTTACTTGATCGGGTCGAAGGTGATAGTGTACACAGATCACGCAGCCATTAGGTATTTGGTTGATAAAAAAGAGTCTAAGACGTGCCTAATTTGTTGGGTGCTACTTTTGCAAGAGTTTGACTTGGAGATTCGTGACCGTAAGGGAACGGGGAACCAAGTCGCTGATCATTTTTCGCGCCTTGAAGGTGCTAAAAATGCAATTGAGTCTGAGGATATTCTGGAAACTTTTCCAGACGAGCAGCTGCTAGCCACAAGTTTGGAAGATGTGCCATGGTATGTTGATATTGCAAACTATTTGGCCTGCGGCATTGAACCATATGAACTCTCCTATGTTCAAAAGAAACGATTTTATTGTGACTGCCGAAACTATTACTGGGATGAACCGCATGTGTTTAAAATTTGCATTGATAACATGATCCGGAGATGCGTCCCCGAGATAGAACAATGTTCTATTTTGCAGGTTTGTCACACGTCACCTTATGGAGGACATTTTGGAGGAGTTCGGACAACAGCAAAGGTGTTAGAGGCAGGGTTCTACTGGCCAACAATCTTTAAGGATGCTCACCAATGGTTAAAGAGCTGCAATGAATGCCAAAGAACGGGAAACATATCCCGTAGACATGAGATGCCCATGAATCCAATTCAGCAAGTTGAGGTGTTCGACGTTTGGGGAATTGATTTCATGGGTCCATTCGTTAGTTATTACGGCAATAAGTACATACTTGTTGCGGTGGATTATGTATCCAAATGGGTGGAAGCTGCAACACTTCCCACCAATGATTCGAGAGTGGTGGTCGGATTCTTGAAGAAGAATATATTCACCCAATTCGGGACTCCGAGGGCCATCATTAGTGATGGGGGCACGCACTTTTGCAATCGTGTCTTTGAAAAGTTGTTGGCTAAATATGATGTGCACCACAAGGTAGCAACCCCATACCACCCTCAAACAAGCGGGTAGGTAGAGGTCTCAAACCGTGAAATCAAGAGTGTACTCACTAAAACTGTAAACGCCACAAGAACTGATTGGGCGATAAAGCTTGACGATGCACTTTGGGCCTATAGGACTGCATTCAAAACACCTATTGGTATGTCACCATACAAATTGGTATTTAGGAAGGCATGTCACCTACCTGTGGAGCTAGAACATCGAGCTTGGTGGGCACTAAAGCAATTAAACATGAACCCTGATGAAGCTGGAGAAACTCGACTGGCAAAGTTACATGAGTTGGAGGAATTCAGATATCACGCCTTTAAAAGCACGAGACTCTACAAGGAGAGGATGAAGAGATTGCATGACAAACACATTGTGGACAGCAATTTCAAACCTGGAGACAAGGTATTATTGTACAATTCAAGGTTGAGATTGTTTCCGGGTAAGCTTAAGTCCTGATGGTCTGGGCCGTTCAAGGTGACTGAAGTGTTCCCGTCTGGGGCTGTGGAGATAACCAGTGAAGATGGCACTAACACTTTCAAAGTTAATGGACAACGACTAAAACTGTATGTGGGGATGGAGGAAACGAAAGAGTTGTTCGTAATAATTCTTGTTGAACCGCAAAGGTCGAGCTAGCCTTAAATGAGCTTAATCTACGTCGTGCCACGACATTAACTAAGGCGCTGGTTGGGAGGCAACCCGACGGTCGTAGTAGTAATTAATTGTGAGTTTTTGAAAATGCTAACCAATGCAGGTAACAATAGGCGGATGATAAGGCAATCGAAAATGAAAAAAAAAATCAAGCAAAAGTTCAGGATTTTGAAGCCCAGTTAGTGCGACCGCGCTTATGGGCTCGCTCATGGACGCACTGCTAGCGCGACCGTGCATCTGGGCGCGCTAAGAACGCACTAAATTCTGCCTGGGCCGCACTACTAGCGCGATCGCGCATCTGAACGCGCTAACTTGGCAAAACATTCTGTCTTGGACACGCTAATTTATCGCGATCGCGCATATGAACGCGCTAATAGCGTTCAGCCTTTGATACACGACTGTTTGTTCTTTGCTCTGATTTTTTTTATTTTTAATTTTTTTTTTCTTTAGTCTAACTCACTTCCCCCCCCCC